GGAGCCAGATTTTCAAGGACTTTAAATGTCAAGAGTACTTTTCCCCAGGGGCAACAGGAACCACTGAAACTTCTTGGGCAGATGAGGGAGATGGCTATACCTGTGCTTTAGGAAATGTCAACTTGGAAACTGTGAAGGATGAACTGGAGAGGGAGATAGGAGGCAAGGGGACCAGTGAGGAGACATGCAGTAGTCCAAGTGAGAAGAGATGAGGGCCTGAGTAGGGTGTGAGCTGAAGAAGGAGACAGCTGTTAATAGATGTCACTTGGCAACTCCTCAAATGTGGGGGATGAGTGAGAGAAGGGTACAGGATGACTGAGGTTTTGAACCTGGGTGTGCTTGTCAGCATTTAGAAAGTTAGGAAAAGGAATTTGGGGGGAGGGGGAGAAGATGAGTTCTGTTCTGGCCATGTTGAGTTTGAGATGTCTCCAGGGCATATAGGTGGAGATACCCATTATGCAGCTAGAGATGTGGGATTGGAGGTCAAGAGAGGTAGAGGCTGGCTATGTAGACTTAGGAGGCATCTAATTAAAAAACTGAAACAATTTTTGTAAAGAAGCAGGATATAAAGTAAACCCGTTTATCAGCAGTCCTATATATCACTAACAAAATCCTGCAAGAATAAGAGAGAACACATTTAAAGTAACTCTAGATAGTATGAAATACCTGGGAGTACACCTGCCAAAGCAAACACAGGAACTTTATGAACAAAATTATTAAAAAAAAAAGCATACAAATCAAATTTAAATAATTGGAGAATATTAATTGGTCATGGGTAGGCAGGGCCAATATAATAAAAATGACAAATTATATATTCAATGGCATCCCAATTGCAAAAAAAGTTTTTTTTTTTTTTTTTTTTACTGAATTGGAAAAAATCCATTTGGAAGAAAAGAAATTAATAAAAAAGATGTGAAGGAAGGATGTTTAGCAGTATCAGATCTTAAAATATAAGGTACTGATTATTAAAACTATCTGGTACTGGCTAAGAAATAGAAAGGTAGATCAGTGAAGCAGAGTAGACAATTTACAGCACCAACTGACTATACTAATCTTGTGTTTGACAAGTATAAAGACTTGAAGTTTTGGGGATAAGAATTATTTGGTGAAAATTGCTGGGAAAACTGGAAAGCCATTTAGCAGAAATTGGGCATAGACCAATATCTTACACTATTTACCAAGATGAGGTCAAAATGGATATGCGACCTAGATATAAAGGGAGATATTACAAGAAAATTTTAAGAATGTGGAACATATTACTTGTAAGACTTCTGGATAGGCAAACAATTTATGAATAAACAAAAGAGCTTTGGGAGGGGTTAAATGAATAATTAAAGTGCATTAAAAAGGTTTTGTACAAATAAAACGAATGTAGCCAAAATTAGAAGGAAAGCAGAAAATTGGGGGGGGGGGAATTTATAGACAGCTTCACAGATAAAGGCCTCAACTATATAAAGAACTTAGTCAAATCTATAGGAATATGAGTTTTCAGCTGATAAATGGTCAAAGGATATGGACAGGCAGTTTTCCAATGAAGAAATCAAGACGATTTATAGTCATGAAAAAAGGTCTAAATCATTGATTAGGGAAATGCAAATTAAAACAACCTTGAGATATCATCTTATACCTATCAGATTAGCTAAAATGATAGGGAAGTCCACAAATGTTGGAGGGGATGTGCAAAAATTGGGATACTGATTCCCTCTTGGTGGAACTGTGAACTGGTCTAACCATTTTGGAGAGCAATTTGGATACCCCTAAAGAGTTATAAAACCACCTATACCCTCCAGCAATACCACTTCTAGGCTTGTTTCCTAAGATGATTAGAGAAAAAGGAAGAGAACCTATATGTTCTGAAATATTTATAGCAGCTCACTTTGTGGTTGCAAAGAACTGAGGAGATGCCTGTCAGTTGGGGGATGGCTGTAGGTTGTGGTGTGTTACAAGAAATGATTTTGAGACTTCAAAAGACTCCCGGAGTTTGAGACTTTCGGGAGCCTGGATGGCAGAGTGAGCAGTAAATCGCTCTCATGCTTCTTTGTTGACCTTGAAAAACCCGACACGTATCGTCCCAGGAAAAATTCTGAAGCAGTGGAGCCAGCAGAAAGATGGGGTGCAGCAGTCTTAGCTTGGGAGTCTTGGGGGAAAGGTCCCTCTTGCTGTGGTTGAAGGGGACTAGTACAGGATGGGAGGCATCCCTATAAGCCAGCAACAAGCTCCTCTTTAGCAAACCAGTGGGAGATCCTGAGCTCCAAGGTGGTGGAGCAGGCAAATGTCAACACCAGGAATGCCCCCTTTACCCCCTTACCTTGGGACAACCTGGGGAACTCGTAGATGCCAGCTTGGAGAACCACCATGTGTGCTGGCAGACAGGCATCCACCAGCAGCTAAAACTTACCTGTGCTCTAATGCAGCCCCAGGTGAAGAGGTGACTTCCAGTGGCCAGACCAGCCCCACCCCATGAGCTTTAGTGTAGCCCCAGGGCACACACCAGCCACCACCACCAGCACCAGGTAAGCTACCAGACCCCTACAGCATCCAGCTGCCAGCACCTGAGACCCCAGCACACAAAACCAGTAACTAGGCCCCCAGCCCCCAGCGCAAGAAGCATGGGACAATGCCCCCTGTGCCCCAGAAGCAGAGATCAACTTTAAAAGACAGGAAAAAGGCAAACACCATGAGCAAAAAGTAACAAAGAAAAAATACCATAGAGAATTATTATGGTGACAGGGAATATCAAAAAACAAATTCAGAAGAAGACAACATTGTCAGTACCCACATCCGAAACCTCAAAGGAGAATATAAACTGGTCTCAAGCCCAAAAAGCCTTCTTGGAAGAGCTCAAGAAGGATTTTAAAAGTCAAAGAAGAAAAATTGGGAAAAGAAATTAGAGGTGTGCAAGAGTCAATTGCTTAGAAAAGGAAGGACAAAAATTAACTGTAGAAAACAATTCCTTTAAAAATACAGTTGGCAAAATGGAAAAAGTACGCTGAAGAAAACAACTCCTTAAAAAGTAGAATCAGAGGGGCAGCTAGGTGGTGCAGTGGATACAGTATTGGCCTTGGAGTCAGGAGGACCTGAGTTCAAATCCAGTCTCAGACACTTGACACTTACTAGCTGTGTGACTCTGGGCAAGTCACTTAACCCTTATTGCCTCACGGGAAAAAAAAAAAAAGGCCAAATGGAAAAGAAGGTACAAAAGCTAACTGAAGAAAACAATTTGTTAAAAATTAGAATTGGGCAAGTGGAAGCTAATGACTGTATAAGACATCAAAAATCAATCAAACAAAAGAATGAAAAAAAAAATAGAAGAAAATGTAAAATACCTCATTGGAAAAACAACTGACTTGGAAAATAGATCCAAGAGAAATAATTTAAGAATTATTGGTCTACCTTGAAAGTCATGATCAAAAAAAGAGCCTGCACAGCGTCTTTCAAGAAATCATCAAGGGGGCAGCTAGGTGGCACAGTGGATAGAGCACCAACCCTGGAGTCAGGAGGACCTGAGTTCAAATCTAGCCTTAGACACTTGACACTAGCTGTGTGACCCTGAGCAAGTCACTTAACCCCATTGCCTAGCCCCCCCCCAAAAAAACAATTTAAAAAATCATGAAGGAAAACTGCCCTGAGATCCTACAACCAGAAGGTAAAAGAGTTATCAAAAGAATCCACGGATCACCTAAAAAAGATTCTAAACTGAAAATGCCAAGGAATATTGTAGCCAAATTCCAGAATTATCAGGTTAAGGAGAAAATAACTTGAAACAGCCAGAAAGAAACAATTTAGATATCACAGAACCACAGTCAGGATTACACAGGACCTTGCAGCTTCTACGTTAAAAGCTCAGAGGATGTGGAATATGATAATTCCATAAAACGAAAAGAGCTTGGATTACAACCAAGGATCAACTACCCAGCAAAATTGAGCATGATCTTTTAGGGGATGAGATGGATATTCAATGAAACAGGGGACTTCCAAACCTTCCTGATGAAAAGACCAGAGCTCAACGGAAAATTTAATCTTCAAATACAAGACTCAAGAAAGGCATAAAAAGGTAAACAGGAAGGAAAAAAACCATGCTATTCAATAAGGGCAAACTGTTTACGTCGCTACATGGGAAGATGATACTTGTAACTCTTGAGAACTGTATCTTTATTATGACATTTAGAAGGGCTATACATAGGCAGAGGGTGTGGATATAAGTTGACTTTGATGTGATGATGAAAAACCTAATTAAAAGGGGTTGTAATGAGAGAAGAGAAAAGGAGGAGGCAGAAAAGGGTAAATTATATCACATGAAGAGGCATAAAGACCTCTTACAGTAGAGGGAAAGAAGGGAGGGAGATGAGCATTGTTTGAACCTTACTCTCATTGGATTTGACTCACGCAGGGAATAACATATTCAGATATAGAAATCTAACTTACCTTATAGGAACTAAGAGAGGAAAGGGAAAAGAAAAGGGAGGGGGCTGATAGAAGGGAAGGTAGAGTGAGGGAGGCCATGGTCAAAAGAAATGATGAGTTTGGTGATTTTAGAAAAATCTGAAAAGACCTGCATGAAATAATGAACAAAATTAGCAAAACCAAGAGAATGTTGTATACAGTAACAGCAATATTGTTTTAAAAACAACTTTAGTGACCAAATAATTTTGATTAAGCTAAATACTCAGATTAACCATAAAGGACCTATGAAGGAAGATGCTATCTGTATCCAGAGAAAGAAATAAAGGTAAGAAGTATGTATAGTATGGTTTTACATATATACATATTTATGTCTAAAGGTAGTCATCTCTTTGAAGGGGAGGGAGAGGGGAAAAAAGCTACATGATAACTTTATTATAAATTTAAAAGGAAAAGCAAGTTGTACATAAAAGACCTGCAGTTTCATGTGTAATCTTTTTTTTTCCTATTCTACTTTGCTATGGAAATGCTTGTTTTATTTCTTAAGTTCAGAATAAAAAAAATTTTTAAACTGGAAAAAAGATTTGGGAGGCATCTGGCATCCCATTGGAACTGTGAAGTCATGCCTTTTTTAGCAGTTAAATCACTGATAATTTTAGAAACCTTTCTATCAAGTTTGGGGGTTGGAATCTAGATTACCCAATTATGACCTTGTTCCCAACCTAGAGTTGTCATTTTGGTGCTCTTTGAAAAAGAGGTGAAGGGTCATATCACCTACGTAGCTTTCCACTCCTAATTCCAGGCATTTCAGGAGGAGAGAGGGTTTGCCAGACAAGACAGCAAAGAGTCACCGACACCTGGAAAGATAACCAGTAGTGTGTCTCTGCTCCACCCCTGACTCTGGGTAGGATATTAATTTCCCCAAAGCCCTTTAAATTACTGACGAGTTACACTTCCTCTAAATATTTGGGTTTCCCCCCCAGGCTATACATTCCCAGTCAGTAGTCAACAAACATTTCTTAGATGCCTTCAGTGTGTCAGGCACTGTGACAAGCCCTGGGGATGCAAATAGAAAGTTCCTGCCCTTGTCTAATGGGTGAAGACAACACAAAAACTGAAAAGCGAACATGGGGTTCAAGGAGGACTGTGAGTTGGGAGCATGATGGAGAAATCAAGGAAATCCTAAATGGGTGCAACCAGGTGGGAAATGAGACGTCTGAGCACATTTCAAGTTCCCTTAACCAATCCTCATCCAAGTAGAGGCTGGATCACATGAAGAAATGGATAGAGTCCGAGATGTGGAAGGAGCAAGGTGTGGGTTTGAATCTCCTCTCAAACTGATAGTGCACAGTTTGGTTAATTTCATGGAATAGTAAATTGTTGCTCAGTCGTTTCAGTCATGATTAGACTATGACCCTGTTTTGGGGTTTTCTCGGCAGATACTAGAGTGATTTGCCATTTCCTCGTCCATCTCATTTTACGGCTGAGGGAACCAAGTCCAACAGGGTTAAGTGACTTGCCCAGGGTCACATAGCTAGTAAGAGTCTGAGGCCAGATTTGAACTAAGGAAAATGAGTCTTCCTGATTTGAGGCCTGGTACTCTCCACCTCACCACCTACTTGCCCAAGCATTTATTAAATGCGTACTATGTACCAGGAACTTTACAAATGTCTTATTTGATCCTCATATCACCCCCATGTTACAGTTGAAGAAACTGAGGCTTGCCTAGGGTCACAAAGCTAGTTAATGCTGGAGGCTGGAACTGGGGAGGAGGTGAGATTAGATTCCCACCTTGTAGGACGTTATATACAAAATGTTTTGCAAATCTCAAAACCTATATAAGTGTTTCCTATTACTACAGCTGTTATATATACAATGCCCCTAAAGCTTCATTAGGGAAAGTTGCTTTGCCAACTGTGAAGCACCAAAACACTAAGTATGATCAGGGAGAAGTGGTCTGGGGGCTTCCCATCCAGCTAGGACAGTTACCCAATTAGTGTGGTCAGGGAGAGGTGGTCTGGGGGCTTCCCATCCGGCTGGACAGTT